AAAAAAAAAAAAAAAAACCATCAGATCTCATGGGACTCATTCAATATCATGAGAACAGTGCAGGAAAGAACCCCCTGCCCCAGTAATTCAATCACCTCCCACCAGGTTCCTCCCATGACGTGGGAATTGTAGGAGTTACAATTCAAGATGAGATTTGGGTGGAGACACAGCCAGACACTATGAACAGTGGTACATATACAGCATAAATTCTCAATGCTGTTTTCTTTGTTTGTAATAGATTTTCTTTTCATTCCTTGAACTTTGTATCCAAGATAACCCTTTCACCTTCTTAAAAATGTGATCAGCATCAAAACCATTTGATCATTTTGCAAATAAAAGGCCACTGGGTTTGTAGCTCACAGTCATTTGGCTGGACCAGAGTGGTTTGTGACCTTCCGTCACTTAACCATAGTTACTTCACACACAATGAGCTCTGGGATGGTTGAGAAACCACCCATCAGCTTTTCAGCACAGTCTGTACTAAGGGACAGTTTGCTCGCCAAGGCCTTTATTGCCCAAAGCTTATCTAGTCAGGCTTGGCTGAAACCAGTCACTTGCTGCTGTATTACTTTTCATCGACTAGATAGCACATGAGCATTGAAAGAATACACAGGGCATGGTCTTAGGAATGGTCAGATTTGGAAGAAGTTTTATACTCAGAAGTGTCTTATGTTAGACAGATGGCAGTCCGGTCTTGTGACTCCCCTGTGTGGTGATGCTTCAATCATTATGTAATGCAGGGGTCCCCAACCCCCAGGCCATTGACCAGTACCAGTCTGTGGCCTGTTAGGAACTGGGCTGCACAGCAGGAGGTAAGTGGCAGGCAAATGAGCATTACTGCCTGAGCTCTGCCTCCTGTCAGATCAGTGATGGCATTAGATTCCCACAGGAGTGTGAACCCTATTGTGAACTGCACATGCAAGGCATCTAGGTTGTGCACTCCTTATGAGGATCTAATCCCTGATGGTCTGAGGTGGAAGTTTCATCCCCAAACCATGCATTGTACCCCAAGCCCCAACCCCAACCCCCTGTTCATGGAAAAATTATCTTCCACAAAACTGGTCCTTGGTGCCAAAAAGGTTAGGAACCACTGATGTAATGGAAATTGATTTATACTCCTCTCAGATACAGCCTGTTCCTCCTGTAATTTCTAAAGTCCCTTTCCCAATTTCTTTTGGGTCACTTTCTTGCAGAGCCCCGTAAGAATCGGCCCCCCATTGCTATTGTGTCACCTCAGTTCCAGGAGATCTCTTTGCCAACCACTTCTACAGTCATTGATGGCAGTCGTGAGTACTTATCTAAGTATGATGTTTTAGAAGAACATTCACTGTATACTCTGGTAGAAAACTCTAGTAGAAGATATGGGGCCAGCTATGTCTGTGTTCTGTTTAGGCCAGTCATCTTGACCGTGTTAGGGGAAGGACAACCATCTGAAGCAACTGACTGAAAAGCAACATACCAGACAGGCCTTCTTTAAAATACCCATGTAGCCTATTTGAAGTAATATTTCTGCTTTGAGATGGTAAGAAACTGAGATTATGCAGGTAGTTAGCATGATTTTAGTTGAAACTCACTGGTTTTCAGATTTGCTTAGATGGAGTTGCCTGTTTAATTCATGGAACTGAAGTTCCTTCCAATCATAGCAAGGTAAGTAACTGGGAGGCCTGAGGAGCTTTTACTCAGCTGTGACTTGCCTAACAAGATTCTCATCAGCCTCTTCCTGGAGACACTCACAGAATGCACTCCACACCCTGATCTGGGCTCCTTAATATTTTACTCTTCAGAGTAGTGTCATCCAATGAGTGACATGAGAGAATTTTTGGGTCTTTGCCCCTAGTCATGGCTGTATGGTGCAGGAGGTTTCAGACCTATCCTTTCACCAGTATTTGCCTTTTTGTTTTTGGAGACTGATTAAGGTCGTTTTACCCTGACTGTCTTGGTACCATGATGGTTTTTGGCAGAGGCAGTCACAGCTTTAGCAGAGGACCCTCTAACAAGGTTAAGCATTTCACGTTGGCGGTGCTGGCAAGAAGAGGAGACTAGGAGGATGATAGCAGGCCAAGAGGTATGAGAGAGAACAGGAAGAATCCCTTGTGATAGAGTGTGGTAGAAAGGGCTCACATTGTACTGTTTTATTTTACAGTTTTGTACAGGTCAAAGTTAAATAATATGCAAATGTATACAGTGAAAATAATTATACCATCCCTGTCTCCTAACCAGTTTCATCCAGACAACCAATGGTATTATGTATCTTTTTAGAGATATTTTATATGTGTATAAGAAAATACATATATAGTCCTCTCGTATTTACACAAATGAAAGCACATTGTATATGCTGTTGTGTGTGATGCTTGTTTTTGTATGTTGGAGAATTTTTCTGAATCAACACATAAGATGCTTATTCTTTTTTAAAAAAAATGACTAAGTTGCCGGGCGCGGTGGCTCACGCCTGTAATCCCAGCACTTTGGGAGGCCTAGGCGGGTAGATCACAAGGTCAAGAGATCGAGACCATCCTGGTCAACATGGTGAAACCCCGTCTCTACTAAAAATACAAAAAATTAGCTGGGCATGGTGGTGCGTGCCTGTAATCCCAGCTACTCAGGAGGCTGAGGCAGGAGAATTGCCTGAACCCAGGAGGCGGAGGTTGCGGTGAGCCGAGATCGCGCCATTGCACTCCAGCCTGGGTAACAAGAGCGAAACTCCGTCTCAAAAAAAAAAAAAAAAAAAGACTAAGTAGCATTCCATCGTATAGATATATAATTTCATTTTACAAGTTCTTACTTGTTTTTGATCAATCTCTATTGATGACCATTTAGATTACTTTCATTCTTTTGCTATTTTCATTCATGGAACCAAAGTTCCTTCCAATCATAGCAAGATGAGTAACTAGGACGCCTGACCGAGGAGCCTTTACCCAGTGATCACTTGCCTAATGAATGATCTTGTAAACATAATGTTTAACACATGTACAAGTATATTTGTAGGATAAATTTATAGAAGAAATGCAGGGGCAAAGATAAAGATTGCCAAATTACTCATTTTAGAGTTTGTGTCAGTTTATGCTTATACGTGACTAATGAGAGGTCCTCTTTCTCCACACCTTTACCAATGTAATGTGTTATGAAATTTTGGTCTTTACCAATTTGATAGGTTAAAAAATGCTATCTCAAGTATAAATTTAATTTGCATTTCTTTTAAATGAGGTTGAGTATTTTTTCATGTGTTTAAGAATTATTGACTTTTCTTTCATCATACAGTAGCATTTTAACCAGAGGTTTCCTGTGTTGGAGTCCTTGGGAAACTACACAGTGGAATATACATAGAGAGGCAGAATGACCCAGTATTCCTAGGGAAGAAACATTCTGGAGAGATAGTCTATAATTTCATGAAGTTTTCCTAGCTTCAAATCTCTGGGTAGTTGCCCTGGTTTGTGTAAACTGGATAAATGCTAAGACCAAGCGTTCTCATGTTGTAACTGATGTTTCTTTATGGTCAAGAAAGCATTGATGATGATAAAATCGTTCAGTACCATTGGGAAGAACTTAAAGGGCCTCTGAGAGAAGAGAAGATTTCTGAAGATACGGCAATATTAAAACTAAGTAAACTCGTCCCTGGGAACTACACTTTCAGGTAAATTAGGATTCAGCTTCAAGTTTACCATAGACCATTTTTTTTTTCTTCTCATGGGTTTTACATTCTTATACGAGTAACTCTGACAAATATCAAATTCACTGTGGAGTTGGTTGATAATACAGCTTTTGGTTCCATTGGTTCTCTGAGCCCTATGGTGATTGTGATTACAGCAATGGTATCTTTTTAGGGCAGAGGTTCTTGAGCAGTAGATCAGGATCTGCCACTGTTAATCCTACTCAAGCATTATCTGGCAGGTTTCCAATATTTTTTTAGGATTTCTGATGTTAAGTGAAAAGGCCCATCTTCCTTTGCATTTTCTCAGGCAAAACCTGAAGGAATCTACTCCCATTTTTTTCTTCCCTTTGAAAAATGCTTCCTCAACTTACGATACCTCATAATCTTTATGTTTGACTAGTAGTTTTCATTCTCTGTTGGGGCTTTTTAGGGAATTTGATTCAAAGAAAGTACTTTTGGGGAGCTGGTATTGATATTCTAGAAAGTGATTAGTAAGGCTTCGAAGCTTACTCTAGAGTAACCCTCCTTATATTTGCATAATTCCTTGTATGTTAAAAAGCACTTGTATTAATATATGAGTATCATACAAACATGATATTATAGATGATACTATCTTCATTTGACAGCTGAGAAAAAGGCTGCTCTGAGGTCTCACAGCTGGAACTTAAATGCAGATTCTAACCCTGAAGTCAGGGTTCATTCTACTTCACTCCTTGACTTGATCCATGTATTTTGTCCATACTTCCTTTCATTCCCTTCTCAATCTGTTCAAGTTTTGCCCATCCTTAAGAACCTCCTCAATTTCCATGAGGTTCTCTGAGATCCCTCCAGACAGGAGAGAATATGGCTCTCTTCTTTCCCTGTTGCACTCAGGGCCTCTATGTGGCATTTACCATAGTGTGTCAGTTTATTCATATATATCTGTCTTCCCATGAATCTGAGATTAACTAAATTTTAGATGTTGCCAGGGACATAGAAATGAGTGTCCTAGCACAATACCTACCATATAAATCAGTATGTGACTTCTGACGTGGCAGTATTCCCATTGATTCAACACTTGAGGTGAATGAAAAGTAGCTGCCAGCACAAGATTGGAGCCTTCTACTTGGCTTAAAATGGAAATTTGAGCTGGTTTTCACCTTAGATTTCTAACATAGGAATTTTTCTATTTACAGAATTCAGCCTCGGCCAGGTTGATCCTTTTAAAAGCTAGTAACAATAATAGCTGATATTTCTTGAACATTTACTATGTGCTAAATACTATTCTAAGCTCTTTGCTGGCAGTACTGCATTTGATTCTTATAACATGTATTATGGTTATTCTCATTTTACAGATTAGGAAATTTTGGCACAAAGAGGTTAAGTAACTTGCTCAAGGTCATACAATCAGTCTAACTCCAGAGTCTAAGCTTTTAACCACAATGTTAACCTACTGAATTTTTAGTGGATGGGGTGTAAGAGTGATTTTTTTTCCTAGCCCCCATTTTTATGTTTTTTTTTTTTTTTTTTTTTTTTTTTTTTTTTTTTTTTTTTTTTTTTTTTTTTTTTTTTTTTTTTTTTTTTTTT